ATGTAATAAATTAATACACCTTCAAAGAAGAGTTCATTTGTATCGGTCACAATTGCTCCATCACCATTTACAGATCCGCTCCATCCCATATTCCCCCCCCTCCCCCTCCCCCGGCAGAATTTGTAAGATGGAGTCATTTATAGGAAGACGCGAGTGATCCAACCAAACACATTTCCTTTTATTCATAATGGGATTTAAATTGAACTATGAGGCATCAAAGGATAGAATCATTACAGTTTCATCCCTGGTTCCCCCCTCCCCCCTCATTAACATGCTAATGAGGTTACTGAGTAAAACCTTTCCGTTTTTCATGACATACTTTATTTTATTACTGGTGATGTCATCACTGGGTCTCTGCAGCTCACAAACCCCCCCTCCCCACACTTCCCAAAACAGCAAAGATCCACCACCATGCTTCAAAGTAGGGATGGTGTTCCTGCTGTTTGTCTTGGTAACCCATTGTCACTGAGACAGGAAGTAGTGGGAAATCCAAACTTATATAGTTGTCACCAGAACAGGGAATATAATAAAATCTTCTAATGGGAGCACTGGGGGAGGGGCAGGTGTAAAAAAAAAGGCATTACAGCCTCTAGATGGCGCAAGAGCAGCATAGGGCATTACCTTGCCCATTGGCATCATCTATTGGCTGTAATGCTGTGCAAATGGCATTGGTCCACTTTAACACTTCCTTACTCTACCCCAAAGCTGTGACAAACATTTGGAGTCTCATCGTTGAGTGTTGCCACCTGAGGAAAGCCGGTAACCATTTTAGTTCATCGGAGGGCAGGTTGGTAGAGCCCTGGACACAATGGGATGACCTTGGGGGTCCCCGGAGCAGTATAAAAAGAATGAGGGCACCAGAAATGTAATGCAAGCCCAGTAAGTCTTTCCTGTACATAAGAAGTCAGAAAATACCAACGCGTTTTGGGGAGCTCACAACTCCCCCTTCATCAGGGCATATATACTGGCGGTAAATAAAGAGAACCCCGGCAACAGAATGTGAAATAAAAGCAGGGACAGTGTACTGATTGGGTCACTGGGTTGCCCAGTATTTTCTTCATTCACTGACAGCAACTGATGCCCCTGAAACGCGTCGGTTCCTCTTCTGACTTCTTGTATGCAGTAAAGCCTTCCAGGACTTGTATTGGATCCTGTTCATCATGTAGGAAGGTGGAATTGTGAGCCCCAAAACGCGTCAGTTTTTCTCCCGATGTCTTACCGTAGCCAGTAAAGACTTTCGGGACTTGCATTGGATCTGTGGCCCCTTTTTAAACTCTGCTGGCCAGGCGACGCTGCCACACATGTGACCGTCCGCCGCGCTGTAACGGCAAAGTGCCGGGCGGTTTTTGTTAAACCATCTGCATTCAATCATCGCTGCCGATCAGCTATTCCTCCCCTGCGTCTGTTACTTCTTATATTCCTTTTAATTTACGATGGGGGGGAATTGACGGAGGGGGGGGGGCGGGGCCCCGATCAATAGCGCAGTTATCGATAGAGAATGGACGGACGGCTGTCTGTTGCGCACACATCCATCTCAGTGCCGGAGAGGCTGCAATATAACATGCCATTAAAATGATGAAATATGGCCGCGTCTCATTAATTCACTTTCCTTCGGGGAATTGCGCGGCGGCGGCGAGAGACGGGAGCTTTCACTTTGGCAGGAGAGCGATTCATTAGGAGTGAAAATCTTTGAACAGCGGGGAATGTGGAGTGAATGATTAGGGATCTGTGAATGTTCCGTAACTCTGCAGATAATGAGGATTTGTTTCCGTGCCTTTTGTGCCGGCAATCTGTCCGCTGCGCGCCGATCCCGTCTTATGCCGTCTGCCGCTCGGCGTACAAATCCTTCCGCCGATCCCCTGGTGTCGGCGGTTTGATGAGCTGTGAAGCGTGCGCTTGTTTTCTGCATGCTTAGCAAGAAGGGGCCGCGAGTAAACCGAGCGTATGCCAAGAGACGATGAAACGCCGAGCCGCGCGGAGCTTGTCATCCGACAGAGGTACTTAGCGGCGCCAGAAGATCCGACCCAACCCACATTGTTCAATGTCATTACCGAGCACCCCCAAAAACACATCCGCCAACATTCCAAGACCCCCAAGTGTCAGTGTGTCATTGTTCTGGAGCCCCAAGTGTCAGTGTGTCATTGGTCTGGACCCCCAAGTGTCACTGTGTCATTGTTCTGGGACCCCCAAGTGTCAGTGTGTCATTGTTCTTGGGCCCCCAGGTGTCAGTGTGTCATTGTTCTGGGACCCCCAAGTGTCAGTGTGTCATTGTTCTTGGGCCCGCAAGTGTCAGTGTGTCATTGTTCTGGGGCCCCCGAGTGTCAGTGTGTCATTGTTCTGGGGCCCCCGAGTGTCAGTGTGTCATTGTTCTGGGGCCCGCAAGTGTGTCATTGTTCTGGGACCCCCAAGTGTCAGTGTGTCATTGTTCTGGATCCGCAAGTTCTTGCCTGCAGCAGACTGATCACTGGGGAAGGAGAGACTGAGGAAATGCTTCCTCCTGCCTGCAGCAGACTGATGACATCATCTCAGCCAAGGCAAAGCCACTGACTGGATGTCACGAATGGTTTTAATTAGATTTTCTGAATGATACTCTTACTGTATATTGTGATATGTCAGGATTTTGGACTTGGTACTGAAAGGTCCAGTTTTGATTTGTAAATAACTCCGACCCCTGACATTTTCTTCTCACTCAGCATCCGGGAGGCATGCCCCCAAGTGTCAGTGTGTCATTGTTCTGGGGCCCCCAAGGTTTCGGCCTAAAACAGTTACAATGTGCAAAGTGTGTTCACAATTTTCTGTCTGAGGCAATGTGTGTGTGCGTTTGTCTCGGTCGGCGTGTCCTGGCCCTTACCTGCGTGTTGCGTGTCCTGGCCCTTACCTGCGTGTTGCGTGTCCCCCCCCCCCATGCCTGAG